ATTGAGGGGATTGTATGTGCCAACTGAAGGCCTGGACTTTTTTTTTTTAATATATTTTATTGATTTTTTTACAGAGAGGAAGGGAGAGGGATAGAGAGTTAGAAACATCGATGAGAGAGAAACATCGATCAGCTGCCTCCTGCACACTCCCCACTGGGGATGTGCCCGCAACCAAGGTGCATGCCCTTGACCGGAATCGAACCCAGGACCCTTCAGTCCGCAGGCCGACACTTTATCCACTGAGTCAAACCAGCCTGGGCAAGGTCTGGACTTTTGTCACTTCTGCTCTGAGGGAGGCCCAGAGCTAGACTTGGTTTGTTGGACACTCAGACACAATACTAGGCTGTGGGAAGGATGAGGCAGCCATGACCACCGCGGAAGCCAGTGCTCACCTGCCCAGGGCAATTCCGCTCAATGGAAGCCCATCTCAGGCAGGGAAGCAAGCCACCGCCCCCGGGCCCCAGGGCTGTCCTTCACACGGCTGTGGAGTGCACCCTGTGCACCGACTTCACGTCACAGCTGGCTCATACTCTCACTGGATCTTTAAAATACTACCAGCTTCATTTTCTTTTTTGGAACCTGGGAATAAAGACCAAGCCCGTAGGGGAAGAGGCTCATTATTCTCTTACTGATTGGAGATTTAGTAGCGGAGCAGTTATGTATTACTTGAACTGGAGCATGTTATCTTTTTGCTGGCCTGGATTCCCCAGCCAGAGACACGACACAACTGAGAGATGGTGGGATCTGACCGCGGGTTCCACCAGTGATGGAAGGCAGCCTGAAAACAGGGCTGTGCATGGGCGAGGAGGGTGTGCCTGGTCATACCACCCCCAACCCCTCCAAAGCACCCCATAGGGCAAAGGGAGGAGGGAGCATTTGGGAGGTGCCACTCATCCACACCCTCCCCCGCTCCCCTCCCCCCCAGCGTGGGAGCTGACCATCAGCCTTTTGCGGGCATCTGGCCCCCACCACCTCTGTCTCCAGGCCAAGTGGTCTGTGTGCTGTGGTCTGTGGGTAGAAGACAGCACACAGCTCTGGGCACTCTCTCCTGGTCTCTTTCTCTGTTCCCCACCAGCATGGATGTTTAATCAATCAGACAATATTTATTGAGGGCATGTGCACACCCATCCTTCGAGCCCGGCTTAACCATCACTCTGGCAATGCAGCGGGCAGCCACTCAGCCTAGGCAGGCTGACCTGGGACCGAGCGTTGGGCGCTTCATTGGGGACGCATGAGGCCTGGGCCCTGCCTGCCCCGCACTGTGCCATGCGGCCCATGGGCACTCAGCAGGTGACGGTCACAGGAATCAGTAAATTGGAAGACGAGTAGGATTCAGATGGGGAGGGGTGGGGTGGGATGAGGCCAGGACAAACGACAGGCTGAGAATGGCAAGCACTGGATCCCGAGAGCTGATTGGAAGTGAGGCCTTGTGGGGAGCAGTGGGGACAGGCCAGTGAGGGCAGCGGTGAGCGCAGAGGCACCAAGCCGAGGCCCGGGGCCCGGGGCCCAGTGCCATCCAGCAGGACTTCCTGCGATGGTGGAAATGTTCTATTTCTGTGCCATTCGATGTGACGTGTGGCTATTGAGCACTTGAAATATGGTCAGTGTGACCGAGGAGCTGGGCTTTTCCTTTTATCTAGTTTCAATTAATTTTGATTTAGATAGCCACATGTGGCTGGGGGCTACCACATGAGCTGGTGCAGGTCTGGAGGAGAATCACGCAGGGTTTCGGAGCAGGGCGCGCGGGCGTCGCTGATAGGAATAACCGGCAGTTACTGAAAGCTTATGACGTGCTGGTCGCTCTTCGTGTGAATCTCAGTGAACCCCCAAGACAACCCTAGGGCACAGATCCGATCCCATTTCACAGAGGAGAACATCTGAGGCTTAGAGAGGCTTTGCGTAGCTTGCCCACGGGCCCACCCGGGCCTGCCTCACTCCGAAGCCTGCGCCCGAGCACCAAGCTGCAGTGCTTGGGAACAAGCTCAGGGCAGTGTTTCTGGACAGCAAAGTCGGTGACAGGGCAGGATAGCATGAGGGGGAGACCTCGGGAGAACGGGGGCTCGGAGTGATCCAGGTGAGATAGATGACAATGAGCCCCGGCGTGCAGAAGCAAAAGAGGGGGCACAGTCCTGGGCAGGGGCTGTGTCCTCCCAAAATCCGTGTGTGGAAGCCCTGACTCCAACGTGATGCTGTCTGGAGTGAGGCCTTTGGGAGGCGATTGGGGTTGGATGAGGCCATGAGGGTGGGCACCGTGATGGGATCCGTGCTGTATAAGCAGAGGAGCCCAAAGCTCTCTCTTCACCATGTGAGGGCACAGCGAGAAGGAAGGGGGCACATGGAAAGGGCCCTCTCCGAGAACCCGGCCTGCTGGCACCCTGGTCTGGGAGTTCCGGCCCAGAACCGTGACACGTGTGTCTGCTGTGTAAGCCACCCCGTCTAGGATTTGTTTTGTGATAGCAGCCCGAGCTGACCGCGACAGGGGCAGAGGCCGTAGCCCCCCCACCTTTGCTGAATGTGTGGGGCGGGGCGGCCACAGCGTGGGAGGGAGGCTGTGGGGATGCCCATGGAGTGTTGCCGGGGAGGCCGCTGGGCCTGGGCTCCCTGTCCGCCCGGAAACGTCTCCGTTGAGGAGCAGCCGCCCTCCCACCCAGAGAAATATCGAGGAGGGCGGAGCCAGACTCCCAGAACCAGTGTCGTGGAGCCGATGAGCATATGCGGCTGCACACTCATCCCCAGCACAGCCTGTGCCAGGTCATTCCGTGTCACCTCTGCCCATTCATTCATTTGAGAATCATCAGCCACACTCCCAGGCACGTGAGCCGGCTCCTTGGAGAGCCCTGGGCTCCAGCTTGGCACTGGGCAGGGGCGGGCGTTACCCAGCTCTCCTAGGTCCCGGAGCCTGATTGTGCCTACGTAGCGGTGGGACCTCCGGCGGCCTTTACCATCTCCGAGCCTCCGTGTCTTCAGCTGCATCATGGAGAGCCTGCCTCCCCCTCCCTCATACTTTGTTGCTTGGCACATGCAATTGCTCAGGAAACGGTAGCGACCCGTCTCGTGTTCTCTCCTTATTCCCGGCACCGTTGTCTCAGGGGGAGGGGCAGGGCACTGTGCTTGGAGGGCGACTGGCATCGCACCCTATAAGCATGTAGAACACTCACCAGGAACATCTCACCCCTTGAAGGGCCACACTCCTTTTCACACGTGCACCATTTGTTTATCCCGGGTGGTGGGAATTAGAAGGAAAACAGCCAACCGGCGTCAGCACCTCCTTCCTCTCTCTTTACCCCTGGGGGGGAGCCCTGTGTGCATTTCCACCCGATGGGCTCACGGGGGGCCTGTCCTAGAGGTAGAAGGGCGGGGGGTGAGATTGGGAGGGATATCGAGAGGCAGTCCTAGTGGCGAAGAGGGGATTTCAGATCAGGTCTTGGGTGGTGGGCCAGGGCTCCCGGGGGCGGGCTGCCAAACCCAGGCCTGACACAAAAGTGGCCAGGCCCCTTCCTCTCCAAGGGACCCTGGAGCTCAGAGGGAGAGCAGCATAGAAGTGAGCATCCAGACAGGGACCCTCCCCAAGCCTGGGACCTTCACGAGAGCTGGGAAGGGGCCCGCTGTGACGGGGATGGACTTTCTTGCCAGCCCAGAGAGCTGGGAGCTGGGAGGTTACCTTTTATTTGGAGAAACAGGAGGAAAGTGACAGTTCTCATTGGACGGTACTGGACGGTAGCCAATGCATACCCTCCCACCCCAAGAACATGTCAGCTTCCCTTCCGCCGACAGCTGGCTCCCCCTCCTGCAGCACTGGGCTCAGCTGCCCGATCAGGCGGGGACGACAGGCTCTGGGAAGCCAAGTTGGTGACATTTTCCTCTGCGTGGAGAGGGGTGTGCCTCTTGCTCAGTTGGCAGCCTGCAGGAAAGGCCAGGCGGTAGATCCAGCCTTCCCTCGGTGCTGGGGCAGGTAGGGGGGCCGGAGAGAGCCCCCAGCCTGCAGGGACGTGGTAGAAACATTGAGTAGCCCCCTGCGCCAGTGCTCAGAGGAGGGCCTGCTGTCGCCGAGGCAGACTGTACCGTGAGCCGGGAACGGGTCTCGGCCCCACCAGGTCCCCTGCCTCCCGGGGCATGTCACCCGGCCTTTCCCACCACCGTGTTGCCGTGCATTTCAGGGAAGCAAAATATGTATTAAGAAGTTATGAGCTTAAGCAGCAGAGAAGCACCCGGCCTTTCCCACCACCGTGTTGCCGTGCATTTCGGGGAAGCAAAATATGTATTAAGTTCTGAGCTTAAGCAGCAGAGAAAGTCAGCCACTGCAGGAACGAGGTTCTGGCTACTTATGTGTCTGGAGAAATTACATAACGGCTCCAGAGCCAGACCTGAGTCCGCTACTTGCTGGGTGAACTTGGCAAATTCTCAACTTACTTCTAGCCCCCGATGCCTCACCTGTGAGACGGGCCTGATGCTTAGGGAATAGGGTGCCTGGGCTCGTTCTGTGAAGGGACCGGGCATGAAGTAAGTCGCTGGTCCTTCTCAGGACCGCATCTTCTCACGCCCGTGACTTTTTTTGCGTGCTTATACACAAATGCGTTTTCTTTGTTGCATAACATCTTCTGCCGCCCACCTTTCCGGGGAGGGACGCAGCCTGCTGTGCCCGGGCCATCTCGTATTCTGCTGCCTGTGCTTGGCTCTTCCACTCGCACTGGGCGTTTGGGCGGCTTCCAGTTCTCTGCTGTGGAACATGATGCAGCTGTGAATGTCGGGCAGCTTATTTGTGATGTGCTCCTAACAGAGTGTGATTGTGGGGGTGAATCTATGCCGTGGAGATTCATGGGTGGGCAGGTCCATGGTGCCCCAGAGCCACCGGTGCCCTTTGGGTGATTTGTCCTTCTGGCCTGAAGCCACAGCCATCCCTCAGAATACGGCCGAGGGCTCCTCGGCGACGGCTTCCCCAGCCCCTCCGCTGAGGAGGAAGCCGCTCAAGTGTTGACCTCCCCGTGTCCTCTCTCTTATAGAAAGTCTGCACCAAGTGTGGGATCGAGGCCTGCCCTGGCCAGAAGCGGCCCCTGTGGCTGTGTAAGATCTGCAGTGAGCAGAGAGAGGTAGGGTGCCCAGGGCAACGGGCGGGGGGCCCTGGGGCCGGGTCTGAGCCCATCCCACCGGGGGAAGTTCATGGTTGGTCACGGGGAGGGCCTTCTCTGGAGGTCAAGGAGGACCTCCTGGGGGTGACCAGGGAGAAGGGTGGGGCGTCACCTGCTGGCTGGCCCATTTTCACAGCGTGGAGGTGGCGGTGGGCCCTGGTTCTGCTATGCCTGGGGCCCCTGGCTTCGGTGGGAAGCCCTCACGCTGGGTGTAGGTTGCGTGGCATTGGGGGGGGGGCAGGGGGCACCTATTATTATAGCAATAGTAACGTCCACCCCAGGTTGCACATTTATTATGAGCCTGGCACTGCGCTGTATGAATCCATTAAATCCTTTCACGATGGATGAGGGTGTGTCAGCATCCCCTTCCGCTGATGGGAAATGGACACTCGGGAGGTGGGCACCCAGCTGGCTCCTGTGGGAGCCGGAAGGAAGTGCAGCCAGGTCTGCTGTGGTGATGCCACCCACAGGCCCTTCCGGTGCAGAGGTTCTGTCATTCTAGTTCTTCCCCATTTTAGGAGAAGGAATGGAAGCTCAGTGGGGCAGTCACAGGTGTGGGGCTCGAACCTGCATCTCCTAACCCCAGACCCCGGGCTTTCCTCCCTGCACCAGGATCGGAAGTGAGGCCACACCGGAGCGGGTCATTGGCAGGAGTTTCCGGGGAGGGGCACGGGACGGGGGTGGTGGGAGCAGAATGCGCCTGGCAGAGGGAGCGCGCCCTTGGTCGGTCACCACATGTGGATCCCTTTCCTTGCGTGGCACTTGGTATGTGCTCTTACTCTGAGGGCCCAGAAGAGGCCTTCGGTTTGGGAAATTCTCAGCCAGGCTGTCCTTGAACACTGCAGTCCCTGCCGTTCCGGGTCTCCCCTTCTGCGAGTCCCATTGGCTGCCTGGCAGAGCCCCTCAGCCCGTCCTCCACGGCCCCCGCTGCCCTTGTTTATTGCTTTATCTTCCTGCGCACATTGTTCAGTCCTGTCTTCAGGCCACTAAGTCTCTGGGACTGTCTCCCAGCTGTTGGTGTTGCTGGTTCTGTCTCTTCGCGTCGGCTTTCCCCGGGTGCGTTGGGGTTTGGGTTTGTGTGCTCATCTTGAAGGGGAGTCCGTGTCCCCCTCTTGCTCTCCCTGCTCATCACCTCCACCCAGGTCCTGGGGGGCCCAGGGCAGAGCCAGGCCTCTCGGGCTAGTGATGAGCTGTGTCCATGGTGACAAGGGGACTATTCCCAGGGCCAGTCATCAAAGCCTCAGGCAGCCTGGCCAGGCCCCGGCTGTGTGGGTGCCGCTTCCAGCTCCCCTCCGTGTTCGTAGTCTTAGGTGAGCTCTAGTTTCGGGGTGCAGGGGGGAGCTCTGCTTCTTCAGCCTCTTTTCCCAGATGGGAAATCCCATCACCAGCCCCTGTTTTCAGTGGCTCTGGCTCTGGTCCCCCACCTCCCGTGGTCCCTGTGCCCTAGAAGACCAAGCTTCCGGTTGCCTCCACCGGCCAAAGGGTCCAGAACTCCACGGGCTGGGCCTTCAGCTCCTCCAAATAGGAAACATTTGGAGTTTCTCGTCCATCGAGATGAACATCTTGTTTCTGAGCGCAGATAGGTGTGCTTGCTGTGTTTAGAACATGCTCCTCGGAACAGGGAAGGTACCCAACATGTGAACTAACATTCCGCCTTGCCTGGAGGTCCCTGATTTCTCATCCCGACTCCGAGATGATAATCTCTGTTTCTTAGAGATGCTGTAAGAATTCAGCCAGGCCCTGACTGGTTTGGCTCAGTGGATAAAGTGTCGGCCTGTGGACTGAAGGGTCCCAGGTTCGGTTCCAGTCAAGGGCATATACCTTGGTTGCAGTGGGGAGTGTGCAGGAGGCAGCTGATCGATGTTTCTCTCTCATCGATGTTTCTAACTCCCTTCCTCTCTGTAAAAAATCAATAAAATATATTTTTTAAAAGAATTCATCCAGGTCCTTAGATGTACAAAGTGATTGATGTGCAAAGCGTACATGTCCGGCCTGGCACAGGTACTCTGCAAGCATCAGAGACCTCCCTCTCTCCCAGCCAGAAGCGCCCCCTTTGAACATGAGGTCCTCCTGGAAGTGTCCCCTAAGACGCAGCTCTCTGGGAGAGAGGACATTCCTTAAAACGGCATCTTGTGGGAGACACCTCCGCAGGACGAAATGACAGTCACAGCCGAGCTGTTAGAGGACAGAGATGAAGGAGCTGTCACAGAAAAGAAGGTGGATGAAAGGCAAGACGGATGTCGCCAGCGTAATAGCTTAGTGGACGGCTGCAGAGGCGGCTGGCCCTGCCCGTCCCCACCTCCAGCTGCCCTGGCATCCCTGAGAGCCAGGCCCGGGATAGCACGTGCGGGGCCCACCACCCGCCCGTCCTAATCGCCGGAGCACCGCGGCGCCCGGACATCTGAAATAGCTTAGGACGAATTTCCTTATCTTTCTGAGGCAACGCATATGAAGCTGTGCATCACGCTATCACTTTGTCCTTGAATTTCCAGAGGCGAATAAAACTCAGCAAGATGAAGAACATGACGTCCCATCTCTGCAGTGCCAGGCCAACTGTGGGCCCTCGGTGTGCGCGTCCCGAGTGCGGGCGCCCTTGGGTACCGGACCAGGTGCCGCCTTTTCCTGCCAACGTTTGGGATGGGAGAGTGACAGGGTAATTGGTTTGCTAATGCCTTTTTAAAAAATTTTGCTTAGAAAGAGATCTAATCACAACAAAGAGATAGCTAAATAGAAAGAGCATTTAAAATGTCATTTGAAGTGCCGCTTACAGCTGGTTCTGAATCCGTGATAAGACTGAGGAGCTCCGTCCTGCGGGGGAAGCGCGTCCTGACGGGGGAACGTGAATGGTCTGATGGAGACTCTTGCACCAACGCTCTTATCTTTCCTTCGGATGCTTTGCTCCCGTCATCTCTGGCTGAGCTTTTAAACACTTCTTTTCTGGAGTGAGATGAGCGCTGGTTACACGTCCCTGGGCTTGTCAGGTGGGCGTTGCTGCCTGTTTGGTGCACACCCGTGTTGCGAGCAGGGGGGAGGCGGGAGGGGGGGCTGGCAGTCTAATGCAGGGGTCCTCAAACTTTTTAAACAGGGGGCCAGTTCACTGTCCCTCAGACCGTTGGAGGGCCGGACTATAGTTTAAAAAAAAACTATGAACAAATTCCTATGCACACTGCACATATCTTATTTTGAAGTAAAAAAACAAAACGGGAACAAATACAATATCTGTATTTGCATGTGGCCCGCGGGCCGTAGTTTGAGGACGCCTGGTAATGCATGTGTCCATTCGGGCACTCAGCACATGTTTATTGAGCATCTTCTATGTACCAGGCCAAACAGCTCTTCTCATGGGAGGGAGACCACAAACACAGTAGAGTCAGTGCCGCCATGTCGCAGGGGGTGATAAGGTGCCAGGGGAGGGGAAGAGGGTGCTGGGACAGTGGGGGTAGCTGTTATTCTATACGGAGGAGGCGGGGAAGGGGTTCCTGGTCCAATGGCATTTGAGCAGAGCTCTGAAGCGCACTGTGTGGCTGTAGGGATGAGAGCATGCCAGACAAGGGGTAGTGAGTGCAAAGGCCCCGGGGCAGGTGGGTGCTCGGTGATTTGGGGGACTGGCGGGGAGACCGCGTGGCCAGCGTTCGTCAGGGTCGGGAGAGGAGGTCGGAGACATGGCAGGGGTCGGATCGTGTTGGTCCTGCCGGCCATGGTAGGACTTTGGCTTTTACTGTGAGTGGAATGGGGAGCCTCTGAGGGTCGGGAGTGGAGGAGAGACATGACCTGAGTCCCCCCCACCCCCCATCTTTTCAGAGGATGCTCTGGCTGCTGCGTTGAGAGTAAATTGTAGACTATAATGATGTCAGAGTCAGTAATGACATTTTATCTTTCTTATTTAATATTAATTACCCCAGATATTTATGTGCTTGACTGTTAGTTTGTGACCCTTAGAAGTTTTCATTTTTCTAAAATATCATATACATTTTACTCTTTTCTGATTATACAATTAATATGGCTCATCATTGACATTCCCAATGTGTAAGAAAACATAAAGTAATACACACCCAAAATATCCGTCATCTTATCATCTAATCACTGTTAACATGTTGGCATATTTACTTCTGGCCGTCTGTGTATTTTTCCTTTCTATTGCTGAACCCATTTTTAAAATTAACATATATCATAAATAGTCATCAGCGTAATCAATAGCTCTTTGTAAACATTCTGTCATGTGGATATTCTGCCCATTTAAGACACCTAAGTATTTCCTTCCCGCTCTTATTAGTAACTGCAATGTACCAGTATGTGTGGGTGCATAGCTCCTTGACCACACTTTACATTTTGTCCTCAGAATGGGTTCTTAGAAGGGAAAAATGAACATTGCTGTTTATATGTCCTCTTTTCTTATAGACCCTTGAGTTATTACTGTTGATTTATCTCATAATTAGCTGGTCTGTAATTTTAATCTTTTTAGTAGGAGCCCTTGATGTGTATTTTCTGAGTCTTTTGCTATACGGTAGCTGTTGCCTTTCTACAAAGAAGATAACTTGATTGATAATATAATTGATCATAATCTTTCCCACTCAGAATTCTGTGGATTTGCCCCTGTTGTCTACCCACCTCATGTGAAAAGAGCCACCATGAGGGAGAGGCAGCAAATGGAACAACTAGGAGCACCGGTACCCAGGGAACTAGAGATGATGGTGAAACTGTGTGAGAGAGAGAGAGAGAGAGAGAGAGAGAGAGATAAATAAGGCTTTTAAATTAATTAAAAGAGATAGAGGAGTAGAAACAAATTCAACAAACAGGACCTTTGAAAAAAGTGAGCAAATTTGAAAAATAAACAAGTGAACCATTTTTATTTCTGAAAATGACTGTTGTCAATGAATTTTAAAACTCAATTGAGTACATTTTAGAGCAATAAACCTTGTCATTCCCATGAACAGCCACAGATATTTTCCTTTCATTTGCTT